GATCTGACCTTTCCATACCCACTAATCACGTAAAGGTGAAACCTTTACACTCATGCAACACATATATGGTTCCTTTTGAAAAAAATTGCCTCAAAAATGGCAACCTAAGTTCATCCCTTCCATAACACTTCATAAAGCAAGATGGATAATGCTCTCTGGACCTCTATGGGTCCAGATCTGAAGTCTAACACATAAAGGGACCATAAACTCATCAATTCAAGCCATAAAAAGGGTATAGAAAACCCTAGATTCATAGATCTTAACCAAAACAGAAGGAGAGTTCGATTTGCTACCTCAATACTGCAGATCCAAGCTTGAAAACCACGGATTAGCAATCATCTTGACCTCCTCTAGCTGGAAACACCTTTTTTTTGCAAAACAACACCAAAAAGGATTAAAATGGCTTGCTCTCACACACAACTCGCCCAAGCTCTCTAGGGTTTCTCTCTCTGGACTGGTAGCCGCAAATGAGGGCTATAAGGACCCTTAAATAGGGCACATGCCCAAAGATTTAGGGTTTCTGCCGCCAGCACGGACTCGTCGAGTCCATTCATTAATCCAGTCAGCAAATCGCGATCCTACTCGACGAGTCTAGGCGTCGACTCGTCGAGTCCTTCTCTCAAACTCAAAATAAATGAATAACATATAATACCTGGGAATCCGGATGTTACAAAGGAGGAGTTGTTTGGTTATGAAATCCTTCACAGAAAAACCAAATTCGTCAAATTCAATAGAACATTTATTATCACGAGTGAATTGACGAACTGAAATGAGATTTTTAATAATTTGAGGTGTAATAAGGACGTTTTTGAGGTGTAATGTGCGAAAAGGACTAGAACCAAGGATGAAATGACCAGTTTTAGTAACGGGAATGCGAGATCCATCACCAACTAAAACCGATAAATTAGAATTATTGCAAATATTACTACGAGAGTTGAGTATACCTGAGTCGGCATGAAGATGAGCAGTCGCCCCGGTGTCCATGTACCAATCCGCATTGCCCGGGTCTTGAAGACTCATATTGCTAAAAGCTTGAGGGAGCATGGTTGGTTGGTCTTGAGTGGGTGGATAGTGAAACCATGACAAGTTGTTGGGGCTGTCCAGCAATGCTAAAAAATGCTTGTTGTTGGGCTATTCATGCATTGGACCAAGGCTGCTGTTGGGCTGTTCCAGCATTGGACCAAGGCTGCTGAAATGGGTTTCGAGGGCTAGGCGTTGTAGTGGGCCAAGCACTGAATGGGTAAGCTGATGGTGAGGGCATCAACCCACGTTGTTGTGGCTGTGGCTGAGGGGGTATCGCCATCACAGGCCAAGGAACAAAAGGAGACGATTGGTTTTGGTTATTAGAGAAACCTCCTCCGCCGGTTCTTCCTTAACGCCCACCTCCCCTGCCGCCGGAGCGGCCTCCTCTACCGCCACCACAGTAGTTCTGGTTGCCACCACAACCTCCATTATTGTTGTTACGAGGATTTTGTGAGCGAGATTGATGCTCGGTATTTAGGACCGTTGGTGAGGAGGCATTATCAAGATGAGAGGCTTGAACTGAGGTAAGGCGAGATTGATCTTTAGCCATTGACCGTTCTTCAAGAGTGAGTATAGACCGCATTTAAAGGAAGCTTGGAAACGGTTTTTGGTGTCGGATTGTGGTGGCAACATGAGCAAACTTTGGAGATAGACCGTTTATAGCATAGATAACAAGATTTCGTTCGGGTACCGGGGGCGCCAATGTTGGCAAGGAGATCAGAGATAGATTTTGATGCGGGTACAATACTCCATTACCGAAGAATCACCTATAGTGAGAGTTCGAAGTTCATCATCAAGTTCAAGAGCTTTAGCTTCCTTATTTTCATGAAAGAGATCTTCAATTTCTTTCCATACTTCAGCAGCAGTAGCATCAATGGTGATTATGGATTGCAAAACCTGTTGAGTAAGAGAACCATATATCCACTGTTTCACAATGTTATCCACTGTCTTCCATTCGTTAGAATTGACATCAATTTTGGGAGTTCCCTCAAGGTGATCAAATACATTATAACCAATACAGTGGGTTTTAAAAAGCTCTTTCCAAGAATCATAATTCAATCTATTCAAGTCAAGAAGAAGCGGAATGTATGACTTGATGTTGGTAATGCCATATATTTTATCAGTGGGATTAGGTTTAGAACTACTTGAACCTGTTTCAGGCATTGTGAGGGATGAAGAGTAGAGCAGCAGAGGAGAGAAGGAACGATCAGCAGGAGAAGAAGAAGGATGGAGAAAATAGCGACAGCGACAATGAAGAAAACCCACAGGTGAGATCGGCTAGGTTAAGAAGTCTCTGATACCATGTTAAGGATCGTATTTTCCCGTCAAAAACCCCCAATGGCTTCCATACTAATATATATAACAGATACAATATGGGCTCAATACAAGTATAATGGGTTGTATACAAAATAAGCCTAAATACATAAAAGGGCTAACTAAATATAAATATGGATAATACAAATATGTCTAACAAAGACGAATTCGTGGATGGACTAGACCACATCGCAGGTGGGCTAATGGTATGTGATTTGATTGACTATTTTTGAAAAAATGTTAATTTTTAACTATTTTTTGCTAAGTAATTAACAAATTTGGCAATTTCTGTAAATCCCTCTTTTGTTAAAAATCTTCATCTAAATGATCATTTTATATTATCTCATAAAATTGTGTATAAATTAAAATATTAAACTTATTGCAGAACTTGTGAAGTATTTGCATCTTATCGTGACAAACTCTTTGTAAAGCGTTGTTATAATAAAAAAAGATTATCATTTGATTAATGTCTAATATTGATAGTAAGTTGTTTGTTAATAACTTAATATGAATGTTTGGTTAAACACTAAGATGTATGACATACGGGCCAGCCTAGAGCGAGTGTGGGCTTGACAACCGTATAGGGCTACACAGTACAAAGCATCCTACGGCGTAATTATAAAATAAGTCGAATTTAGAGGACAATCAACTTATGTCATGTGAGAGTGTGAATCGGGTATATTTGGACTTTGGACTTTGGAGGTGTTTTATTATTTATCTGTGGGCCTAAGAAATGCTCGGACCCATCTTTCATCACTTGTATGACCATTAATTAGGAATTTAGGATACTTAATTTTGTCATCAAATATATAAATTTACAAGTCGATTATTTATTGGTTATATATAATTGGGTGTGTTATTATTAATATACTATGTGATATAGACATCATATTCATAGAAAAAAGCCCTTAATTGATATGAAATAACTGTAATGTTATTATAAATAATTATTAAAAAACATCACATTTATCGAAATAAATGTTTATATGTTACAAATCTAAATGAATTTATAAATGTTGCATTTGTTTCTTTATAAGAATGTGTTTTTAGCATTAACTTCTTTAAATATCTAGTAATGAATACTTTTCAAACAATAACCACTCGTGTGAAAGATAGTTTACAATATATTTTCACTTAAGTTGCCATCGAACCATAAAATATATATATTCTTTCATGGACCTTTTAGGATCCTGTTATTTCTTCTACCATATTCAAATTTTAAACCACATTTGACCTCATCTTATTCTTTCGATCGTAATATACTAGTTTTTTTTTCTCTTTATGCAATATTTCAATTGTTAGCCAAATCATAGGCAATAACGTACATATGAGGCTTTGTTTAGGACTACTTAGGTGTTAAGATTGCGTTTTACATGCTCGCTAGACAATTATTCTAGACCACATGCTATAGGTTATTGGCATGCAACTCTCTTGTGATCGTCTTCTTTACATAATGACCATTCTTCATGCAACTCTTTTGTGATTGTCTTCTTTACATGGACCTTTTATGATCTTGTTATTTCCTCTGTCATATTCAAGTTTTAAACCACTTTTAACCACATCTTATTCTTTTGATCACAATATACTAGTTTTTTTTTCTCTTTATGCAATCTTCTAACTGTTGGCCAAATCATAGGCAAGAATATACCTATGAGGCTTTGTTTAGGACTACTTAGGTGTTAATATTGAGTTTTACCTTCTCACGAGACAATTATTCTAGACCACATGCTATAGGTTATTGACATGCAACTCCCTTGTGATCGTCTTCTTTTATATAATGACCATTCTTCATTTAATAACAACTTAATTAGGACAAATCTGATTTTACAAATTGCACATTTTATACCAATATTATATACATAATTTGGTATATTGTTATATGACATCCTACATCGAGATAATTCTTTTCACGAGATTCAGAGAAATTTGAAAGTAGGAACAGATTATGCAAATTGAAATCATAGAGACGACATCACCAAATAGACAAAAAACAAGAATGAAGTTAAAAAAAAAAATTATCTTTATTTTTTTTTTGTCTAAGTTCAATTTTGAACTAGCATTTTCAAAAGGGAAATGAATCAAATGATCCATATACAACAACTTTTGAAAAAAAAATCTGAACTTTATTTTTGTAAAAAACAAAGTTCCAAAATGAACATTTTCAAACAATATAATCATTTTAGTGAGAATATTGATCATCTTGTGTTGTGCTATCTGTTTATGGAAAGTAAATATACACCCAAAAAGGAAATTAAACCGGGAAATGAAAGATAAATATGCATGACGACGACGACGACGTTTCATAGCACCTGAAGTTTGTTATGCCACCATGTGTTCTACTCTGATTGGTTATAAAACTTGCAACCACACATACCTCTTCGCGCTGTGAAGTCCTCTCAAATATTGGTCTCCAGAATTAAACCCTGTTTCTAAGTATTAATTACTACAGATGCCACACACCCATTGCCTCTGAACCACACAGTGAAATGGCATTGACGCAATTCTTTCAATTTAGAGAGTATTATTCCAACAAAGGACACCTCACATTTTCTAACCGCCAAACTGAATAAATAGTACATAAAGCTTCCTTACATTCACGCTTCTTTCATTTCTAATCTCTCTCTAACGTTCTCTCTCTAGATTCCTATACTTGCTGTACAGAAATGGCTTCGAGTTCGAGCGAAGAAGGTAACCACAAAAATGCTTCCAGTTTGATCGATGAACTGCAATTTGATATGGACGATGATCAACCGATGGTTGAAACGTCAGGTGCAGAGAAAAGTCTATCATTGAAGACGTCTGCGGAGCAGAGCGATACGGCTGATGAGATTTGGCGAAATATCGAGAATAACCGCGTTCGGTTTCCGACGAATTGTGATGATCGTAGAGAAGGATTGAAGAGAACTACTACATTGAAATCTCCACCTGGAGCTGAAGGAGAAGTCGTCGTTTCGACGACTGATGATTCATCTAAGCAATCTACACCTACGTCTCCGACAGGGACCGATGGAGGAGGACGCGACGGAGAGTCGTCGGACAAGGAGAAGGCAGGACGTGGTTCACTTGAGAACAAATCAATTTTGAAGCCGTCGCCTAGCGTCGGTACGAGTCTCCTCAACCTTGTCAATGAGGGGACTGGTGCAAAAGCAAGTGGTACAGAGAACGGTAGTCCGTCGATGATGGATGAAGCATGGGAACGACTGAGAAGCTCGTTTGTTTATTTCCAGAAAAAACCGGTCGGAACACTAGCTGCAGTTGATCCTAGTGCGGAGGCATTGAATTACAATCAGGTACATACTTCAATTATATTTGATTGATTCTTTGATTATAAGCATAAATTCGTGCTTCTATCTATGTATAGCCATCTGTTTACTCCATGCATGTTTCTATAGCGCAACACATTTAACTATCCATAAGGAAGACCGATCTGATAGTTACTAATCAGCTTGCGCATGTAATTCTCATCTTGCTCTGTTTTAAGCAGATCATTTCATTACGTCATACAGCTAGAGCATGGATCAATTTAGTTATCGTGCATGTCTCTTATGTTTAATCCAGTGCATGTCAGCGTATGCAGGATCCATTTGCTTACATATACGGTTTTTCTGTCTCCGAGTGAGTGAGTGTGTATACATGATTTGTAACATTTGTTTACTTGTGTATTTGTGTGATTCTTCTTGCCTCGTGTAATAATGCGAGCTCTGCGTATTTGCTAATGTTTGTGTAGAAACATTAATCATACTGGAATAAGTTCAACAGGAAATGCTTTCTCTGAGATCAACTAATCTGTCATTCTATGCGTATATAGTCATGGATATGCTCTGTTAATTAAGCAGTACCAAAAGACAGTTCCAGTATTTGGATTAGCTAATGATAGGATCATAATGCTGGCTATAAGATTATGGATCAGCTTATAATCTACTGATTTAGCCTTCCAGGAGAGTAACATGCTTTCTTACATAAAAACAGTTTGATATAACATTTTAAACAATGTCCTGGATTAGATTGAATTATAAGGTAATTTAAGTAGAAGAAACCAGAGGAATTAACTATTCATGTAATGTTTTTGGTTGATCAATCAGTCATCACTTTTATAAATGAATAAATGTATGGACAGTTAGTAGTAATGCTCTGCATATGTTCATTTGCTGTGTTAAGTCAAGTGTCCCTAGATCCACTTTGGTTAATTTCCATTACAACTGTCTGGTAGAATGGTTACAGAAACACAATTTGATGTGAATTTTGCAGGTGTTTGTGAGAGACTTCGTGCCTACTGCCTTGGCGTACCTCATGAAAGTTCCAGATCCGGAGCCAGAGATTGTGAAGAACTTCTTACTAAAGACTCTCCATCTCCAAGGATGGAAAAAGACAATTGACAATTTCACTCTTGGAGAAGGTGTGATGCCTGCCAGTTTCAAAGTCATGTATGACTCATACCAGGAAAAGGACGTACTGAAAGCTGACTTTGGTGGCAGTGCAATCGGAAGAGTGGCGCCTGTTGATTCAGGTTTCTGGTGGATTATACTGTTAAGGTCATACACCAAATGTACAGGGGATTACACATTGGCAGAGAAACCCGAAGTGCAAAAAGGAATGAAACTGATTCTCAACCTTTGCCTATCTGATGGGTTTGATACTTTCCCAACTCTCCTCTGTGCAGATGGGTGTAGCATGATTGACAGAAGGATGGTATATATGTTGTATTTTCCTTATTACTTCATATAATATTAAGTTTTACTAACTAATTTAAATTATCTGTTAACAGGGAATATATGGATATCCGATTGAGATCCAGGCTCTGTTCTTCTTCGCGCTTCGGTGTGCACAACAAATGCTTAAACAAGACACTGATTCCAACCGTTTAATCGGGCGGATTGAAAGAAGGATTACAGCTCTAAGCTACCACATCCGAAACTACTACTGGCTAGATTTCACACAATTGAACAACATCTATCGTTACAAAACAGAAGAATACTCCCACACAGCTGTCAACAAGTTCAATGTGATCCCGGAGTCTATTCCGGATTGGGTGTTTGATTTCATGCCGTTGAGAGGAGGTTACTTCATTGGAAACGTAAGCCCGGCTCGCATGGACTTCAGGTGGTTCTTAATCGGCAACTGTATTGCTATCTTGAGCTCTTTAGCCACTCTGGCACAGGCTACAGCTATTATGGATCTTGTTGAGGAACGCTGGGAAGATTTAATTGGTGAGATGCCGTTGAAAATTGCATACCCAGCCTTGGAAGGTTATCAGTGGAGGATTGTGACTGGTTGTGATCCAAAGAACATTCGTTGGAGTTATCACAATGGTGGTTCTTGGCCAGGTAGATAATTAAGTAATTACTTGAATAGATTAAAATAAAAATAAAAAAAATGTTAATTTGTTTTGGTTTTGTACGTAGTGCTATTGTGGTTGCTGACGGCGGCGTGTATAAAGGCGGGAAGGCCACAGATTGCAAAGAGGGCTATAGAGCTGGTGGAGCAGCGGCTTTCAAAAGATGGGTGGCCGGAGTATTATGATGGGAAGAAGGGGCGTTATATAGGGAAGCAAGCAAGGAAGTATCAGACATGGTCAATCTCAGGGTACCTGGTTGCAAAGCTTATGATTGAGAACCCTTCTAATCTTGCTATGATTTCTCTTGAAGAAGATAAGAAGATCGAAAAGCCCAGGCTTACTCGTTCTGCCTCTTGGTCTTGTTCCAGGTAATAACAACATTTTCAGAAAAATTCAGAAAAACATTAACATTTTCCTTTTCTTTTCTTTTATCGTATGCAAATTAATGCTACTCGCATATGGTGCGTGGTGACTTGTCACAATTTTGCATGGGGCGAATTGTTTTCTATATGTCTTGGTTTTTGTAACCAGTACACTATATCCTAGAATAATCAAGTCTGGCAATTTTCAATTTCTAGCCAGTCAATGAAGCAACTTTTTTCAGCTTCTTGGATACAAAAGAGTTATCCAGATTTTGGTGAGACTTGTTTCGTGTCTCCTTGACAATTTTATTGCTTGAATTACTCAGAGTGCAGCCCCCACTTGGAATTTGTTTATGCATGTGCCTTGCCTAATTTTTTTATTTATTTATTTTTTTTTTGGATATAAATATTGAGAATTTAATACTCTACTCTAGAGTATCAAGTATTCAACTATAATATCCAACACCTAGCTCAGATGCACGAAAACTAGGTTAAAAACAAATGTTCTTTTGAGATGAAGGACAAGTATTAGAAAGTAGAAAGATATTTGGTGGTTGTAAAGATAATAAGTAAAATTAGCAAGTCCAACAAAAGCAACTACACCTTTTGCATTCTCTTTCCCTTTGTTGGCTCACAAGTGAAAAACAAACAAAAAGTAGCAACTTTGGTTATGCTTGGAGCATCATTACATATATTTAAATTACACTTTTTTTTTTCTTTTATGAAAACATAATGTGACTCGCAGCAAACAAAACAAACTTTTTCGCTTTAAAGGGTTTTGTAAAGGATAAATCAATATCCCTTTGCAAATAAGTTGTTTATATCACTTGAGTTAGTATAATGAACAACAATAAAGCAATTACTTGCGTTGAAAATATGGCATCACAATCACATCCATCAATAATTTCATTTTCTGTAATTAACTTTTGACTTGTCTTTTGTATTACAGTAACTACATGATGGTCTGTAATTTTTTTTTATATCATGTCTCTTGTGAAGTTTTTTCCTGCATTGGGTTGATGAGAAAGTAACCATGCAATGCAAAGAAGCAGTATTTAAACTGATATGTATGAATTTTCTCAATCTTATTTGTGATTTCTTAATCTTAGGAGTGAAATTCAAAAAAGGGATCATCATATATATAGTTTTGGTAATGGGCATTGCTTAATGCTTTAGGATCTCCCATTGTTCTTTTCTTCCCAAATGGACGTATCTAAATTTGATTGGAAACTGGAAAGCATAAATTAATGTTTTCTCGAAACCTCCTGATCAATACATACTATTTAAGATGCAATGATGCTAATTCATTGAACACATGTTGTTTAAAAATGAAGCATCATTACATTTGTCGCCTTTTTTGACATTCTTACCTTGTATTCTTCTTCACCAACTTCCTCTCTCTTTCCAAACTTAACCTAATCTTGACAAGTTGAAACTTGAAAGTGTCATATCATTATCTATAACAGTGTACATAAATAATATTCCTCCCGCTAGCTGCTAAAACCATCAAAGTTGAATCTCGAATCTTGGGAAAACCGATAGTGTAAAGAAGAAGCTATGGTATAATAATATGATATGATAGGTTGAGAAAAAGACAAACATAAACATGCCAGAAATTTCGAATATGGAATTATAAAAAATATATATAAAAAAAAGGCATTTACGGGTTGTATATTGTTTACGAGGTCAAAAAAGCAAAAACCCACCATCGTCCATTTTGAAACAAATTAATTCCTTCCCACTACATTTTTTACATAATATATAATATTAAAAACTAAGAAACCGACTCCCACTATCACTATTATAATTTGATTTCACAAACATTAGTCAACACCAAAGAAAATCCCTTTCCTTTATCTTTCCTTCGTCGATCTGTCGTTATCATAATCTTTAACCCTCACCAAATAAATCCAAAAACCAACATTCTTTTCTTTTCCTCGCAAACAAACCCACATTTCATCTTCCTCTTCCTCTTCAACAATACCATTCAATTCAACTTGTCTCTTTTGGATTCATGGACGCTTCTCAATGGAAACTGGTGAGTTATTATGTCATATCTTGGCTGTGTTACCAACTGTACAATGTTTTGAAAACAATAAAACAATTAAAAGCCATTTCTTGTTTTTTCTGTTTGTTTGTGGTTTTAGGAAGCTATTAATAATAATAATAATAATAATGATCAAGTAGAAGAGAGGAAGGTAAGGCCACAAGAACAACAACAAGGTCAAGCTCAACCTGCAGGTGGTCCTCTCAACTGTCCAAGATGCAAGTCAAGCAACACAAAGTTCTGCTACTACAACAACTACAGCTTAACACAGCCAAGATACTTGTGTAAGGCTTGTAGAAGGTACTGGACTCAAGGTGGCTCCCTCAGAAATGTCCCTGTTGGAGGTGGTTCAAGAAAGAACAAAAGATCCACCATATCTTCTTCTTCATCATCCATCACCACTGATCAAGATACTCAACATCTTAACTTGTCTTTCCAAGTCCAACAACAAGACTATCATCATCCTCATAATCATGGTTTCTCTCAGTTTCTAAAGCTACCCAAGGTTGAAAATAGTAGCAACCAACTAATTTATCCCTTCGGTTCAAATTCAAATCCAGTGTTGAATGTCCAAGTGGATGAGAATGGAGGGTTTCAAGAAATAATGTTACCATTTGGAGTCATGATGAACCAACAACACCTTTCATCAACAAGAACAATAAGAGATCAGGGTGATGGTCAAAACATGGGTTCCACTGGATACTGGACTTCAACTTTTCTGGGTGATTAATTAATTAAACCAAATTATATGCAAGTTTAATTGAATTGTTTAATCTTTCTTTGCTAATGCATATGATATTTGAATGGTCATCATCACATTCACATGGTTGTATGGCCAATCTACTTAATTAGAAGATTTTGTTTACTAATTACGGCTAAATGATCAGCACTGCACTGCAGCATAAGTTCTGTTGTGTTGTGTATCTTTACATTTTCTTGGAGATGGGAAATCTCTTCTTCAATGTACAACTAACTAGCGTCGTAAGTTTTTACTTATTGTGTGTTTGCCTTGTTTTTCTTTTTATGTATACAAGCAGTTTTTGTGTATTGTGAAAGACTGTGTAGAACAACAGCAAACAATATAAACTGGAACAGGGAAGAAGAAAGATTGGAGAAGAAGGTTGAAAAACAGAAAACCCAGCGTGTCTTCCTGTGTCTTGTCTTTATTATGAGTATATATATATATATATATAAGAGAGATACAAGGGTAAAAAAGGAAATACACATTTACAGGACTAAACTTATGCCTTAATTACAGGGCCTAGCTAAATTGATAATTGACGATGGCAAATCATTCCAAAGAATATAATGCACAACACAATATTTTCCAAATATATGTACGTTTACATATTGATCAACGCTTCTTCTACTTAGGCTTTGGGTTGTTTCCTTTTGATTCAATCAGCTTAACAGGTTACCATTTAATGGGTCTACTTAATCCCAACAAAATGACTTAATTGGTTAAACAAAAAAACCCAACTTAATGTATTAAGACACTCACTCGTTAACTTAATTTTTTTTTGCCTTATGTTCCTTTCCTTCTAACTCCTAACATGTTAAAATCAATATATATATATATATATATATATATATATATATATATATATATATATATATATTGTTAAATTTGATAAATATTGTGAAATTTGTTTTTTTATAAACATAAGAATAAACTGTCATTTAGTCTCATTAAAAAAGTTATATACTCACTCTTGAAAAGAAATAAAACTTATATATACAACCGGGGCGGACGCACATAGAGGTGTGTACGTGCCCCCAGTGGTTGGAAAAATTCTACATATTTTATATATAAATTGGATGGAAAAAAAATGAAGTCCTTTTCTCTTGTTTTAGTGAAACAGTCACCAAACAAAACATTAAACAATAGAGTAAAATACAAATATGGTCCCTATATTTTACTTAGAGTTTCGATTTTAGTCTATTTTTTGGAATATTTCCAAAAATCTTTCTTAACTTTGGTTTCTATTTGGCTGTCCCCTATTCAAATAAAATGACTTTTGATCCTTTTCTAGAAATTGTAATTAATAATTAATGATTAATATATTTTTGTATTTGAATATATTTTTGTGCCCCCAACCTATTTAAATCCTAGATCTACCATTGTATTTTAACTATGGTTTTTGGTATTACTTGTTCTGTTTTGCTAGTCTCATGTACACCTTATGTATGCTTACACTATTCCAAACCAAGAAAAGGTGTTGGGTATAGTTTATAATAAAATAGGGGTGTTATATATAGTGTGTATGTTTATATTTGGGTATGTTTCCCTACGTGGGTGTGTACTTGTGTATGTGTTTTAATTTATGATGCACGTTTAAGTTTGGTTGCTATTAAACATTGGTCCATTCATATCATTATATTGAATTATTGTTGATCATCTTTATACCGTTTTGGTGTTTTGAGAATGGCCAGACCATGCTACTTGTTAAATAAAATAATCCATGTAATTTGTGTGGAATGAATATGGGATGTCTTGCTTTGGTTGTATTCTTGTGGGGTTTACTATGATCATAACTTTGTACTATTGTAGATAGCATTTGTAATTAATTAGTTTCTTAGACAGCTCCTATATAGCAGCACATCATCATATGTGATAGCTTTATAATAAATAGACACATGTTTGAATGTAATTTTGATGAATTCATTAGTTCCATTTGCAATAAAAGCCTAAAACAGAAACCTGCAACAATCCACAAACCATATCCATCAAATCCAAATAATAATAAATAAATGTAAAAATTTCATTTTTGTTGTTTTAGATGATTGATCTTGACCCCCAAATCCTCCACATTTACCTTGACAACATCATCTCTAACTCCAATATCAGTTGCGTATCTGGTGAGGCAATACATGCCAGCTGTCACAGTAACAACCACGGAACACCCAATACAGATGAAATCTGTCCACTTCTTCCCCACCCTGACCCAGCCTCCTTTTCAACAATCAAAACCCCTGTCTTGCAATATAAAGCAAAGTCCTCACAGTTGTTCCTAAACACATAATAATCCCCAAATCCATTATGAAGCAGATACATGGCTCTGTGGATGACTGTATCCGCTTCATCATCTGACTTGGCAGTCGTGCAACTGCCACCTCGTACTTTGGCACAGAATTCAGCTTTGCTTAGACTGTGGATTCAAACCGATAGAGGGCCCCATTTTGGAGGAAGCAGTCCAGGCAGGATATCACAACTCCACTTCCAGGTCCTCTAAATCCACAGTCTGCATATGCTTTACATCTTGTTGAGGTTGTTTTAGACATTATAATGTCATCAGAAGCAAAAGAGCTTTTCTCAGGATCCCTGGTAAAATGGACCACTTTGTTACCTCCAACATAGATGCCTGCGTTATATTAGTACAAGATTGATTATTCAGGATTCTTTTCTTTTTTTTTTTGGTCATTTAGACATTCATAAAAAGAGCCAAGTTTATGCTTTTGGGATCAAACAATCTTTACCTACCAACCATATTGATATCAAACGCTAAAAAACACATATCATACAACTTCTCATCCAATTGCATTGTAGACCAATATCGAAGATGTACAAGATTAGAATTGAACTCAAAAAAGAAAAAAATTCAGCAATGGAGGTTTAAATTAGAATTACTTGAAACGAAAACAAGTTTATGGATGTATGTATGTATGTATGTATATTCAAGATGTTGAAGATATTGAAAAAACCCTCATTCGAATCGATGAGAAATGGAGACATACTGAGAAGCAGAGGCAAAGATGAAAAACGAAATACCATGGTGAGAGTAAGCAAAGACGGCTCTGTAAGTGTAGATGTGGTCGCCTGCTTTGATCTCATTCCTTTCGATTTTGTTTGAAAGAAACCCCATAATCCCTTTCTATATCTTCTTCTTCTTCTTGTTTTGATCGTAAATTCCTGCAACTGTTTTAGTCCATCACATTCCGAAACTTGTTCAAATAATAAGACAAAATTGCAATTGGCCAAAAACACACTTACTTGGAGGAATGTGATTCGCTCACAAAAACAACCGATCAACCGTAGGCATAGGCATAGAAGATGGGTTTTATATGCTTTTATCGACTGTGTAGGGTTTCCAGCGGCAATTCCCCACATTTTCTTTGGGTCCTATTCAAATTCATGCCCGGTTCACTTCTTGTTTGGGTATCCACGAAAGAGTATATACGCTTATTTTAAATACATTTTATTTCCTCAGATAATAATAAAATTACATATTTTATTTACTATATAACTCTAATTTTTTTTTTTTTTTTTTTTTTGGATTTAATAGCTTTTGAATACGTTTTTGTGTCAATTTATTATTTTATTATATACGAACACTTTGATTTGTTCAATAATTTATGGTGCAATGGCGGATGTGCAACCACATTTTATTATTTAGAAATTTACTAGGATTTTTTTACTTATTTTCTTTTAATTGTTTATCATTTGCAGTATGTATTTTCTAAGGATCGTTATATTACGTATTCCTTTTATGTTAAGATTGTGTTTACTTTTCCTATTGCAAAAAAATTGATCGCTTACGCCCGAAGGTATACCTTTCTTTCATATATATATATTTTTTGAACGACAGTCGGACTAGTTAGGTTTTAGTGTTAATACTTCAATTCTTGTTAGCACCAAGGATCGAACTCTGGCATCATCATTCTCCCACACTAAGAGGCTAAGCCTCTACCAATTGGGCTATTCCCAATTGGCATACCTTTCTTTGTTATCTTTTAGATTGAGAGACAAAGAAAGACAAACATTCGGATGAATTCATTTTTTCATAAAACTTGAATAAAGAACCGTTTACACATATATATACAAGATACCTGTGTATAAAAACAATCTAACTGACTAACTTATGTACACAATGACCATACCGCCATTTATTGTTAAATTACTGAGAATACCCTTCAGGTAAGTTGACACCCCCCCTCAAGCTGGAGGATACGGAAGTAAACCAAGCTTGGAAACTGCATTGCGATGTTGAGACCCATTTAAAGCTTTGGTAAATACATCCGCAAGTTGATCATGAGTGGTGACATGAGACAAAGAAATGAGTCCAGACTAAAGTCTCTCTCGTACAAAATGACAATCTAGCTCGATGTGTTTAGTTCTCTCGTGGAAAACTGGATTGGTAGCTATGTATATCGCAGCTTGATTATCACATTTTAAAGGTATAGGAATAATGTTAGGTACAGCAAATTCAGTAAACAAACGACTTATCCATGCTAATTCGGCACAAATGCGTCTCATTGACCTGTATTCGGCTTCTGCTGATGATAAGGAGACGGTTATCTGCTTCTTGGACTTCCAAGAGATCGGAGAACCACCAAACACTACATAATACCCACTGACTGAACGACGGGTTACAGGGCATGCAGCCCAATCTGAATCACAATATGCTTCAAGATGATACGTAGGTTTATCATTGAAGTAAACTCCTTGAGAAATGGTCCCTTTAAGATATTTTAAGACATGAAGGGCTGCATCATAATGAGTTTGGCAAGGAGTTTAGTTGAATTGACTAAGGTATTGTACATAGAAAGAAATATCGGGTCTGGTATGTAATAAAAAATTCAGTTTACCAATTAACTGTCTATAAACCGTAGGATCAGGCAAAGGATTATCAATAGAAGAAGTTAATGGTAACTTTGGTGGAAGAGGAGTGGAAACACAACCGGAATCATTGAGAGAATATGTATCCATTAACTCTTTAAGATATTTGTGTTGATGTACCACTATTCCAACATCAACTTTGTTAAATTCTAACCCAAGAAAGTAGTTGATGTGTCCCAAATCTTTAATCTTGAACTGTTCAAGTAATTCAATCTTTAAACTTGAAATTGCAACATCATCATTTCCGGTTACAAGAATATCATCAACATAAATTGCCACAATGACAATTGACTGTTGAGTTTTTTTTTTTGATGAAAAGGGAGTAATCATTTAATGATCGACAATATCCTTTAGCGTGTAAAGTGGCTGATAACTTGGCGTACCATTGTCTAGAAGCTTGTTTCAACCCATATAAGGATTTGTTGAGCTTGCAAACGTGGGATGGTGAAGAAACATGAACACCCAGTGGAACGCGCATGTAACACCCCAAATTTCAGAGGTATGATTTAAGGGTTTAAAGTGTAATTTTGAAGAAGGGACTCGACGAGTAGGTATGCTTACTCGCCGAGTCGGAGCGGGTCTTGGGTCGCGAATTAAGTGACCGACTCGCCAAGTCGGAAGCTGGACTCGACGAGTTGGTGCTGGAATGAGAAAAACCCTAATCTTGGGGTTGCACCCTATTTAAAGGACTTTATGTCCTTCTCTCAGCCTCCTTATTGCCCTTGAGAACCAGAAAACCATAAGCTTGTGTGTGTGAGGCCTTTGGAGGGAGATTGAAGCTTTGGAAGTTGTTTCTAGTGGAAGAAACTTGAAGATCAAAAGGGCTTGCATCAAGAGAGTGGTGTAGATCCAGAATCTACTGCAGTTTGGGCACATTTTGGAGGTAACAAGCTGTTACCTTGACTCTATTGCATTAATATCTATTCAAGAATGAGATTTGGGGCCCTTTTTGCATGATAAGGATCTATTTCGGGTTAGGGGTCTAGATCTGAGGTTGCTACTTCAGATCTAGACTTGTCTTAGTCCAGAAACTCACAAAGTATCAGCCTTTGGCTTGTTGGTGAAGCATCCTTGTCTTAAACCTTAGCCCCTAGAGTGATTTGGGCTTATAGTTCCTTGGTTTCACGTAAAGTTTTCAACTTTACGTGGGAGTTATGCCCTAGAAGAGTGGATCTACAGTTTGGAGCCCCTGCATGACTCGAAAAGCCTCTGTATGAATAAAGGACTGAAGGGACTCGGCGAGTCTGTTCTTGGACTCGGCGAGTCTGTTGAAGATAGGCATGGACTCGACGAGTTGGAGGAACAACTCGGCGAGTCTGTTGAAGATTGTTGTGGACTCGGCGAGTCTGTTCTTGGACTCGGCGAGTCAGAACGCAAGACCCCCAACCTCTTCTGGTTAAGACTCAGATCAGCGAGTTGAGTGGTGACTCAGTGAGTTGGACATGATAGGACTCAGAGATTGTTGAACTCGATAAGTCATGGAGTGACTCGGCGAGTCGAGTCATGATATGAGAGTTTTCTGAAGTTGGGAACTCGGCGAGTCAGCAGGTTGACTCGGCGAGTAGGGTCAATCAGGAAAGTTGACCTTGGCCAGGACTTTGACTTTGACCAGTTTGACCTTCAAGGGTATTCATGGTAATTTGGATATTTATGTCAATGGATCATTGATGGCTATAGGTGTTGGAGTTTGGGGCAGTGCTTCGGGATTGTGCTTTTGTGGTTCGGTTCGGCAGTTGCAAGGTGAGTTATCCTCACTATACCCAAGGGTCTAAGGCACCAAGGCCGACCCTTTGATTTGTTATTTGAGATAGTTACTGTTGTGATATGTTAGTTGGCATCATGGTAGATAGGATGGTTATATGATGGTATGCTCTGTTAGATCAGTATCCTGGTAGATAGGATGGCTATATGATGGTATGCTCTGTTAGATCGGTATTCTGGTAGATTGGATGTGGCTATGCTTAGTGACCGGTAGTTGGTCTGACTGTCTGTATGCTGGTAGGAGATTACCTGTTATATGTGCACGTGTTGAGCAGTAGTAGAGGGTATTCCATCCCGGTAGGATGATAGGGCCCTAGTATGTTGTCTTGTAGACTGTTGTATGGTTATTTGATAGGTGTACATGTTTGCTAGTATGTGGGCATTCCAACCCGATGGTTGAGGGCCAGGAGTATTCCATCCCGGTAGGATGATTGGACTCATAGTAGGGGGCATTCCAACCCGATGGTTGAGGGCCAGGAGTATTCCATCCTGGTAGGATGCTTGGACTCATAGTAGGTGGGCATTCCAACCTGATGGTTGAGGGCCTGGGGTATTCCATCCCGATGGATGATTGGATCCATAGTAGTTATTGTATGTATAGGTATGTGGGCATTCCAACCTGATGGTTGTGGGCCAGGAGTATTCCATCCCGGTAGGATGATTGGACTCATAGTAGGTGGGCATTCCAACCTGATGGTTGAGGGCCTGGGGTATTCCATCCTGAGGGATGATTGGACCCATAGTAGTTATTTGTATGTATAGGTGTGGGGGCATTCCAACCCGATGGTTGTGGGCCGAGAGTATTCCATCCCGAGGATGATTGGACTCGTAGTATGTTGGCATTCCAACCCGATGGTTGAGGGCCTGGGGTATTCCAACCTGACGGTTGATTGGACCCATAGTATGTTGTTCATTGATGTATGTGTATGGTTATGTGTGTACGTGTATTTTGGGGGAACTCACTAAGCTTTCGAACTTACGGTTTTCAGTTTATTGTTTCAGGTACATCAGGTGATCGTGGCAAGGCAAAGGCGTGATCGTACCGCTCCTCATATTTCATGATTTGTGATTTGGTTCTGGGGATACTCTGATGTTTAAAATATTTTGAAAACAAGTTGTAATAACTTAGTGGTTTTGAATGGGTTAAAATGTTTTAAATTGGCTTGAATTTTATGGGTGTTACAAGTTGGTATCTGTGACAACCGTCAAATTCTGGTCTAGTCAAAGTCAAATAAAGTCAACAAGTCAAACCGGTCAACTCTACTAACTCTTGTATACTAGGGTTCACTTTATGTAATTACTGTACAACTCACTATTTTAATAAGAAATCATCACTTGAAAAGTTTGTATTTTTAGATTTCTTGAACCCTAATCGGGGTAAGTGAGGTAGCAAAGCGATAAAACACTATTACATACCCTTCGGAGGTGTGTAAGACTCTTAAACATGGCTAAACGGGGTTTGCGGACCTTGCGTTTCAAAGCCAAACACTCAAAAAGGCCACAAAAGAAGTCTCTCCCAATCTCTTTCACTCTATCTCTCTCTGCCTCAAATCTCTCCAAGCATGTGAAATATCTCCCAAATCTCTCCAAGCATGTGAAATCTCTCCCAAATCTCTCTAAGTATGTGAAATCTCTCCCAAATCTCTCTAAGTATGCCAAATCTCTCCAAGTATGTCAAATCTCTCCCAAATCTCTCCAAGTATGCCAAATCTCTCCAAGTATGTCAATCTCTCCCAAATCTCTCTAAGTATATGAAATCTCTCCCAAATCTCTCTAAGTATGCCAAATCTCTCCAAGTATGTCAAATCTCTCCCAAATCTCTCCAAGTATGCCAAATCTCTCCAAGTATGTCAAATCTCTCCCAAATCTCTCTAAGTATGTGAAATCTCTCCCAAATCTCTCTCAAAATCTCTCTCAACTTTTTATAATCACTCGGGACATCTCGACCCTCGAATTTGACGAAAACAGCTCGAAAACGGAAGTCTACGCGAAAACAACCTTCTTAGGAACCGAACCTTCTTAGGAGCCGAAACCTTGCATTAGAACCGAAACCCTCTCAGCCGAAATGGACCGAGGGCTCGGTCTATTTCGGTCCCCTGACCATTCCGAACCGAGACCTGACCTTCGGCTCTCCCCTTCCCACCTTCGGTCCGAGAGGACTGCACCTTCGGTCCGAGAGGCGACCCTGCGCAGCCGAACCCTACTCTCGGTTCCTCTTCTACTTTTGGTTCTAAGGGCTAGGACCGAACCTCCGGCCCTGAACTTCGGAAATTGGCAGTTTTTGCCCGGTTTCCAATATTTTTAGCGTTTTGAGCCCGTTTTTCGAGATTTTAACACGGGATTTTCACCCAAACTCGTATTTTAACATAATAACCCTAAATATTCACATATTTAATTATATTTTTAAGAAAATCCTTACTTATGAATAAAACTACTGGGTATGGCTTAGAGGTGGAGGTGTTGACCTTGCTTTAGTGTATGACACAAGCAACCACCCCATGCCCACTCCATGAACCACCCTTGTCCTTCCACCATACCTAGTCATTCCATAGTACTTTTCCCACCATTTTTCAGCCACACACTTGGTCAAGAGCTGGAAAGCCCTCCCCCCTCCTCACATTTCCCTCATTCCCCTCATTTTCCACCAAAGAACAAACTTCATTCTCTCTCACTTTCTCTCTCTAAATTTCGAGATTCAAGGCTATTCTTCATACTTTTCTTCTACTTTTGGTAAGTATTATCATCCTCCGTGTGATTATTTCACTCCTTTCTACTCCAATCATAGGTTGCTTACACAAACTTCATCATATTTGTGTTAGTTCTTCGAATCTTCAAGCAACCTTCTAAGTGATCTTGAGTTGAACACTACCTTTCTTCAACATCCACCCACTGAAATCACACAATGTGAGTTCATACCCCTATCTTTTCATGTTTTTCTTAAGTTTTAAGGGGGGAATACAAGTTAAAACACCAAGAACACAACTAAACTCACCCAACAACTTTCATCAGAAAAGTTTAACTCCATTCACGGACTGTTTTGGTCAACTTAAACATTTTAGTTTTCAAAACTGTATTAGGTGCAAATAGTTCAGGCTCATACCTTTAAAATGACTATTTGCACATCACCATACGATTTTTCTACAATTTATGGTGATTTTTCTACAACTTAAACATTTTAGTTTTTGAAGTTGGAACTAAGTTATTTTGAGTTAGGGTTAAGGCTCATTTCTTCTAGGATGGGTCTTAATGGGTAAAGTCAGAAACCTTACCCTCCTAGATGTGTATTCGACCCAGATCTGGAATATGGAACTTAGATTCGAAGAATAATGGCTTAATACATTAAGAAAGCTTAACAGACTGAAGAACTCGACAGGTTCATAGAGGAACTCAACGAGTTGGGTCGGAGTGTCCCGATTCTGTAAAAGGAAGGACTCAACGAGTTCAAGGACGGACTCGACGAGCTGATTTGGAAAGTCCCAATTCTGTTGATAGGAGGAACTCGACGAGTTCGTGAAAGAACTCGACGAGTTAGATCGCGATTTCAGGGTTTTATGATTTATGGAACTCGACTAGTTGAGTCAAGCCAGAATGTTGAATTTGACCAGAACATTGACTTTGACTTTGACTTTGACTTCGACAAAAGTTGATCCCTAAGGGGTTATGAGTATGAAAAGGGAATTAAAGGAAATATTTTATGTGTAGGAGTTTGAGTGGGGTTGATTTCAGAAACGAGGACCCTTCAGCTACTTTACAACATTTGAGGCGAGTTACCTTCCAGTAGAAGTGGGTCAAATGCACCAATGTCGGCCCACTAGTAGTTGATTATAGTAGTGATGATTGTCTTTGTGATAATTGTCTGGTATGCCATTATTTGTTATGTGTTATGTGCTAGTATGCTATGATATAATGGTAGGGGTGAAATAGTCCCCGTATCTGGTCGATAAGACCGAATGGGTAGTTCGGGCACCCAGATATGTCTGGCAGTATGATTATGTATGCTTTTATGTGGTAGTGGTAGGGGTGAAATAGTCCCCGGTTACCGGTTGAAAGAGGTCGAAGGGGTAGGCCAACACCCTGATATGCTAGGCAGTTACTGGTTGAAAGAGACCGAAGGGGGTAGGCCAGCACTCTGATATGCTAGGCAGTTACCGGTTGAAAGAGACCGAAGGGGTAGGCCAGCACCTTGATATGCTAGACAGTTACCAGTTGAAAGAGACCGAAGGGGTAGGCTAGAACCCGGATATGCTAGGCAGTATGTTATTATATGGTATGTGGTATGATGGGGGGGAACTCACTAAGCTTTGTGCTTACAGTTTTCAGTTTTGGTTTCAGGTACTTCCTCTTCGAAGGGAAATGGGCCGACATGATCACAGCGCATCACACTACATTTTCCACACATGAGAACTTGGGAGTTATACTCTGATGTTGTTTTATCGTGACATGTTTTGACTACTGATACATTGGTTTTGTTATGAGTTGATACCATGGTTGCAGAAATCGGGATTAATCGGCGATTAATCGTGGATTAATCGCTTGGCGTTCTCCAACCGTCGATGATTAGGACATTAATTGGAAATTTAGGATTAATCGGGTTTGGCGGGATTAATCGGCCTTGGCGGGATTAATCGGTCAACAAAAGTCAACAAAAGTCAAAAAAGTCAAAAAAGTCAAAAAAAAGTAAAAAAAAAAGTCAAAAAAGATAAAAAAAAAAATTTTAAAATTAAAAAAAAAAATTAAAAAATTTATAAAAAATCAAAAAACCAACTTTGTTTTTTTACTCCACAATTTTCAAATTTTCAAATTTTCAAATTTCAAATATTATACCAAAATGTTCATATTTTCTTATTTTCAAATTTCCAAATTACAAATTTTCTTATTTTCTAATTTTGAAGTACTTGTTTTTCTTCAGATTACTAATATTTAATTAATTTTAATATTTTATTAATAATCTATGGTCCCCGATTAATCCCTTAACACCAGTCGACCGTCGAGCTACCGTCGAGCGATTTTTACAACCTTGGTTGATACTATGAATGTTTTCAGACAAATGGTTTTTATAATTATTAAATTAAAAATGAAAATTTTGGTCGTGAATTTTGGGATGTTACATATATTGACATAAATGATTTTGTCGTATAAATTAGGAGGACACCTTGAAAAACATGATGTGAAGGATAAGTCCAAATACATTGATATAAAGGCCAATAGGTTTCGCATGCATAATTTTATCTAGTCAAAAAGAAAGGCTGAACAACCATTTGAGAGAAGATATTCTTAGAAATTAAGTGTATATATAGTCTTTTTAATAAGTACAAAATGAATGGTCAAATGATGGATTTTACTCACAACAACATACAATACCCAGACTATGGAGCGCGATGGCCTTCCAACGTTTGCCACTTACCTGGTGGTGCGAAGAAACATGGAAAAATGGGAAGATAATAAAGAAAGAGAAAACCAATTGTATGCCAAATGGTTTCGAAAAATAGGAAAGAAAAGAAAACTTTAAAATGAGATCATCAATATTTAGATATTTTCCAAAATAATAAGTTAAAGTTTGCGAGTTTTGAAAAAAGACCGTAACATTAAAATTTTAGAAATCGCATCATTAAGTGATCAAATCTCGAACAATGTTGGACATCTCATAAAAAAAAAGTAAAATACCTAACATGAAAAACAAGATCCCAGTGAAATTTACTAATTACATGAAAATTCTAGTGTGGAAACAAATTTTATCACTTGCATACCGTTATTAATAGTGGGAAGAAAATGAATTAATGTATTTCAAATTAATACTATCTTGATGATTCAATGCCATCAAATTATAAAGGAATCCATCACCACCTAAACAAAAATTGGCATCATTTCTCTATTCCATTCAACAACATATGGAAATGCTATCATCCATCACCTACATCTTAGAAAATTCCTCCACCACCTATGAACGGCTATCAAGTTGAAAAATACAATTTAAAATTTAACAAACCAGTTTGAAAAAACTAATTTACAATACACAACTGAAATGGTTGAAATAAACATATACAAACACCACAAACAATAAACAATCAAGAACACCACAACAATAACACATATACCACATATTGGAATTCAAGTTGAGATGACGTGGTTATAACTCAAAGTCTCAAACTACCCAACCTGATTTGCATTACCACCTCTGAATATCATATTCGAGAGGGTGATGATGAAACCGCAGAAACGTTTTTTAGTAAAATACGTCGTTAGAAGAAAGCAACAACATAGCGGGGATAGCTCAGTTGGGAGAGCGTCAGACTGAAGATCTGAAGGTCACGTGTTCGATCCACGTTCACCGCATTAAAATGTTTTGTTTTTTAGTTTATGATTATACGCACTGACTGACAGCAATCAGCAATCTAAACCCGTACAGGCGTACAGGTGTTTGTGTGATGCGATTTTTCCGCCGCTCGCCTCCTCTTCCCTTTTCTCCTTTCTCAAAAACTCTGAAATTATCCATTTTCCCTTTTTCTTCTCGTTTTGTTCCCTTTGAATTCCATTACCAATAATTTTTTGATCTTCAACCTCCAGATTCCCCACTTTTCCTGTAGAAAGGGATAAAAAGAACTCCACTACCAAAATCTCCCTTTTCCGAATCCATATATTATGACATGATGGTTTTTGATTTCTTCTAAGAATGCAGGGAATGCAAAACAAGGAGATGGTGATAGAAAAATGATGGTGCTTTTTCTTAGATTGGTTTGAATAGATTGAAGGAAAATTCGAAATTCAAGAAAGAATCATCCATCAAACCTGGAGGATTTTATTTTTTGTGGTGTGATGGCACATAATAAAAGTCCCTTCTTTATTGTTTCCCTGTTGTCGTGGTCGTCATCAAGGAAGCTTGCCAATGATGTTGTCCTTTTCGGATGTCGATCTCGATTCAATACGCGATCGGCATTCGATTCGTATTCAATTACTTCCGAAACCCACGTCCCCTTGTGATCTCTCTAATCTTATTGCGTTTTTCTTTTTCTTCTTCCCAATCTTTTTATCTCTCTGCTACCGGGATGAGTTCTGGTGTAGGAGAGGGGTTACTTTTTCCTGGCAAAATTTGTTGTTGTAAAGATAATAATAATGGGTTGTTTGGAGCTGTTTGTAACGAGTCTCCTGATTCAGAGGCTGATTATGTTGAAAAAGACCCCAGAGGTCGATACGTTCGGGTATTGCGTTTTATGATCTATTTGCCTTCTTAATTAATTATGTTGTTTTTTTGCAATTCCGACTGAATTTAAGTTATATATTTGGTCGTCATATCCATTCATTCATGGTTTTTGTTTCTTGTTCCATTTACAGTACTCTCAAGTTCTGGGCAAAGGTGCATTCAAGACTGTGTATGGTTTCATAATGTTTAGTAGAAGAAGCTCTAGTTTTTCATTCGTTTGTAACATTTTGTTAATAAAGGATTTTGATTTTTAATAGGTACAAGGGATTCGACCAACTTGAAGGAATTGAAGTTGCCTGGAATCATATGAGGATTGATGCTGTGATGCAGTCACCACAAGACTTGGAAAAATTATATTCAGAAGTTCATCTTCTTAGATCATTAAAACACAATAACATCATCAAGTTCTTTGATTCATGGGTTGATCATAAGAAGAAAAATGTAAATATGATAACTGAGCTCTTCACATCCGGAAGCCTTAGACAGTAAGAAATAATAGATTTGATATCATATACTCCTATATAATTAATGTAATATATATTTTACTCGACTCTTAATTTGCATTTAGATATCGGAAGAAACATAAAACAGTTGATTTGAAAGCGATCAAGAAGTGGGCAAGACAAATTCTAAATGGTCTTCACTACCTTCACAGTCAAAATCCACCTGTGATTCACAGGGATTTGAAATGTGACAACATATTTGTTAATGGGAACAATGGAGAAATCAAGATTGGTGATCTTGGATTGGCAACTGTCATGCAACAGCCAACTGCCAAGAGTGTTATTGGTAAGACTAATTAATATATATCTTTTTTTTAAAAAAAAAAAACATGTTCTTCAAGTGTAGTATGAATTTAATGTTGTTTTTTTTTTTCACTAGGAACACCTGAATTCATGGCACCGGAGCTTTATGAAGAGGAATACAATGAACTTGTTGATATATATTCTTTTGGGATGTGTCTGTTGGAAATGGTGACATTTGAGTACCCTTATAGCGAATGCAAAAATCCAGCTCAAATCTATAAGAAAGTAACCTCAGTAAGTTTTGGAAATGGTAATTTATTAATGGAATCAAATAAGTTAAATGATTTTTTGTTTAAAAAACTACAGGGGATTAAACCAGGTTCTCTTAGCAAAGTGGGTGATTCTGAACTGAAGGCATTCATAGAAAAATGTCTGGTTCCAGCAACTGAAAGATCGTCTGCTGGAAAGCTTCTTGAAGATCCTTTTCTGAAAGAGCCAACACCAACACCAGCACCAAGATCATTGAATTTCATGGAGATTGATCAATCTGCATGTTTAAACACCAAAAATGGAGTTGCTGAATTCAAGAGGATTCATCAGCAAAACGAGTTCAAGTTGAAAGGGATAAAGAATGATGACAATTCGGTTTCTTTGACCTTGCGGATTGCTGACCCATGTGGTGAGAAACTTTTTAATTAACATTTAAAAAAAAAAAAAAAGTTAATTATAAGATAAAAAAGAAAGCGATTGATTGATTTGCAGGTGGGGTGAGGAACATACACTTTTTGTTTTACCTTGATAGCGACACTCCACAATCTGTCGCGATTGAGATGGTGGAACAGCTCGAGTTAGCAGATCATGATGTGTGTTTTATTGCTGAGTTTATCGATTACTTGATCACAAAAATTATACCTGGTTGGAAACCTAATTCAAGGGGGGATAAAGATTCAGAAACATCGGATGCATCTGTTGAGATGATGGGTGAAAATGATGTTAGGATTTGTGAAATGGAGGTTAGGGATTTGTACTTTGGGTATGGATTAGAATGTGTAAAAAGGATTAATGAAGATTTTGCAGATGAGGTTGAGTCGATGAGCATGATAAACAATGCTTCATTTCTTTCTTTATCATGTAATGAAGATGATGATGATGATGAGATGGAAGTACATAAAGATATCGAAGAGGATGATATGGAATTGAGGCTAGGAATTGAAGCAATTGAAGCACAGTATGAACAGCTGAGTATAGAGCTCAAAAGATTGAGGGAGGAGGCAGTGGAAGCAACGAGAAAGAGATGGATTAAATGAACAAATTAATTAATTAATTAATGTGGTCGTAAATTAATAGCATGTGTGTGTACTGTGTAGGTTTAGCTAGGGTGGTTTCTGGAAGTTCTGTAATAAAACCATAATGTTTGGGCTATAACCCAAGAATTTCTTTCTTTCTTTTAGTATCTTTTATTTCAAAAAATGCGTTCTAGATGTTTTGCTTCGTTGTATCTTAATGGTAGTCTTGTTTCTTTTGGACAATAACATTTTATATAGGGATCATTAGTTTATCTTCTTAAATCTTAATTATCTAACAAAAAGAAGATGAAACGAATCAAATAAACTTGCGATAGGAGAGTTTCTAAACAAAAATTGTTTAATAATGAAATTGAATTCCTTTTGTTTTGTTAGGAACATCACATGACGTTAATTTTATATATTCACAAAATCATTGTAGACTATTATATATATAAATCCTAATGTACACCAATTACTCATAGTCAATTCTAATAAAAAAGATGGTGAATAAATTTGATACGTAATTATGTCATGTCCATAGCATATTCTATAAGACCATCAGGTATACTGGGCACGAGCCTGTTCGTGGTTTACGTGGACCATGACCACGAACACCACCCCGGCCGTGGTATCTCGTGTTCCCGACGACGAAGTGAAACGGCCAATCGTATTTCTTTTGGTTCTTTTGACCGTTGAACGGTCATTTTTTTTCAAAAACTTATTACATACTCCATAAATAAAATTCTCACACTTCTACTTATACATTTCATCAAATTTCACTCTCATTCTAAACCAAAAAAAACATGGAAGATTTGGAAGTGTTAAAAATTGACTCGGATGATGATGGAGAATTTATCTCGACCTTCTTCAATGTTGTACAACACATTCACGATGAAGAAAGTTTGAATGTTGCTCGTACAAGGGCGGTCGTCAATCGTGATCGTCAAGCCGCACATGACTTATTGGTACGTGATTACTTCACTAATAACTGTCTTTACAATGAAGACGCATTCGAACATCGTTTCCGTCTAATTAAGGCGATATTTTACGTATTAGTAACGCTTTAGAAGCTCATTATGATTTTTTTCAAACAAAAACCCGACGCTAGAGGAAGAATGAGTTTTAGTAGTATACAAAAGTGTGTGGCTGCGCTTAGGTATTTGGGATACGGTATAACATTTGATGCATCTGACGAATACTTAAAAGTATCCGAGAGGACCGTAATTGATTGTGTAGATTGGTTTTGCGCATGTGTATATGAGGTTTTTCATCAACAATATTTGCGTAAACCAACTCCACGTGATATTGAGAGATTATATTCGACTCATGAAGAGAGGCATGGATTTCCGGGTATGCTTGGCAGTCTAGATTGTACGCATGTGGCTTGGGAAAAATGTCCAAATGCATGGCGTGGTCAATTCACTCGAGGAGATATAGGTGAACCAAGTATAATCCTAGAAGCTGTCGCATCTTAGGATTTATGGATATGACATTCTTTTTTTGGAGTCGCGGGGTCTAACAACGACATTAACGTTCTTGATCAGTCTCCATTTTTTAACGATCTTTGGACCAACAAAGCACCTGATATGACGTTCACGGTGAACGGACATTCGTACAAATACGGTTACTATCTTTGTGATGGGATATAAATCGGGTTATTCTACACTTATGAAGGCATATTCGGTTCCTCGAAGTGAAAAGACAAAGTTATTCACAAAGAGACAGGAATCAGCGAGGAAGGATATCGAGAGGGCATTTGGAGTCCTCAAACAGACGTGACATGTAGTGAAATACGCTACACGACTTTGGGATAAGGATAGAATTAAACGAATGGTCCTAACATGTGTTATAATGCATAATATGATCATAGAAGATCAAGGTCGAGCGATTTGCACGTACGATCCGGACGATGTCGTCATCCCGCTTGAAGAGTTCGTACCAGGAACGAATGAATTTTTATCACGAGTTGTTGAAATTCATAACAGCGAAACATGTTTCAATCTTCGAGAAGATGTCGCAGATCATTTGTACGAACTCAATATGAACAAAAATTAGTTTTTTTTTTTTTTTTTACTTACGTTTGTTTGTTTGTTTGTTTTAATTAGGTTATTTAAGTAATGTAGTTTGAAGTTGTATTTTTATTTTTAATGTTTTTTTTAAGTTTTTGTATTTTAATTAATGTAATTTGGTATTTTAAATTAATGTTAGTATTTAAAAAATATATATGATTTTTTATGTATTTTTGATTTAAATTTAATTAAAAAAAATGAGGTGGAGTGGTATGTTTAGTGGTAGGTATCCCATGGTTAGTGGTAAGTATAACGGATGACCTAAGTGAATACTAACAACATCAAATACACAATACGTACATAACAACATCAAATACACAATACGTACATGGTTCTTTATGCTAACAAAACTTTTAATATTTTTATTTTCTCTAATAATTATAATTATATTTGACGTTTTTAAGTTGACAGGAAAACCATTTTCATGAAATAGCCTCTTGGTTTGCAATTTGGAATGGCGTTTTTTCGTTTTCCATATACCTTTTATTTAATTAATTAATGTCCTTTTTTTTAAAGGTGAGATTCGTATGTCGTATCAATTATCACCATCAAACCACTATTTTAATCGATAATTTCTTGAGTGATTCGCTCTTTATTCCTTCCTTTTACTCAACCTCCATCCCAAATTAAATCCATCATACTGAAATGGCAGATACGGTCGCTCCTAGGTTGTACGCCTGCTACAACTGTCACTCCCATGTTGCCCTTCATGACGATATTGTCTCCAAAACTTTCCAGGTATTATACTGTATATTATGTATCTTCATAAATTGTTTTCATCATATATGCATGATGATTAAGTAGTGTACATATCTGAGTTTTGGTTGTATATAAAATATATAAATATTTATAGGCAAGACATGGGAGAGCTTTTTTGTTTTCTCACGTGATGAACGTGGTGGTGGGTGAGAAAGAAGACCGACATCTGATTACTGTTGGAATCTCAATTCCTTAATTCCCTCCTTGTCTTCCACTCACCATATTTCCAGGAAAAGCAAAAGGAATACCATCAAGATGTTGGGTATCTTTTTTCTATTTTTATTATAAAGCTTACTCTAGCATATATATATATATATATATATATATATATATATATATATATTAATATATATATATATAATATATATATATCGAGTTTGAAATAGCAGTACAACACAAACACAGTGTAAACAAGTTTGGTTTTGAGTTATATTTCCAAATCAATCAAAAAGATATTTTGATATATTTGTCTGTGTTTATACAATTGCTATACTAGAATTGTTTATACAATTGCTATACTATACAATTGCTATACTAGAATTGGTATCAAGAGCTTTGAAATCAATCAAGAAGAGCTGTGAAATCAAGGAATCTTATCTGTTTTAGAAGATGTCTTCTGTTGAAGATGATGGAGGTGTTGGTGCTGCTGCTACTCCTCCGGTCAGAATCAAGGAAGTCGGAACCACATCGGTGGCTTGCCGATGTTAACCCAGACAAATTACACTGTCTGGGCTCTACGCATGAAGATCGTCCTGCGTATACACAAGGTTTGTGGACATCGATTGATCCAGGAACAGATAGTAATGATGATAAAAATTACCTGGCAATCGGATTGTTGTACCAAGCAATGCCGGAATCAATCGATCATGCAATTGGGTGATGTCGAATCTGCTAAAGCTCTCTGGGATGCAATCAAAACTCGACATGTAGGCGCTGATCGGGTAAAGAGTCTGACTTCAAACCCTAAACTCCGAATTCGACAGATTGATGATGTCAGAGAAAGAATCAATCGACTCCTTCGCCGGGAAACTGTCCGGAATCGCCTCCCAATCGGCGTCACGGGAGAAACCATCGAAGAAACGAAGATGGTGAAAAAGCTGCTAAAAACCGTACCAGAAAGTTTGTTTCATATCGTCGCCTCCCTCGAGCAAGTGCTAGATTTAAAGACGGTACCTTTCGACGACGACATCGTAGGGCGTCTGAAAAGCATACGGAGAAAGAATCAGAGGAGATGAGGGCGGAGACGGGCAACAACAGGTGTTGATGGCTAGAACGAGTGGTGGTGGGGTGCGATGGAGAAACGAAGGTGGTGGTGGTTCTGGAGGATCATCGGGGAAGAAGGAGTCGAATAAGGGAAGAAAAGGGGGTTCGGGGGGGGCGGGGGGTTTTAATCGAACCGGGTCAGGTGGATCCGGTGGAGCCGGTCTTCGAATGGATCCGGGTCAAAAATCAACCCGACCCAATTCGGCCCAAAACAATAATAAGCCCAATAACCGGCCTAATTCTAATTCGACTCGAACCGTAACCCGAAAAAAGATCTGTCAAAAATTATTTGTTACAGATGCGATAAATCGGGCCATTACGCATCCAAATTCCGGACCGAACCCCCAAAAATTCCAAGAAAGTAATTTTACTGAACACGACGATGCCGATGAAACAGTATTTCTACACACAGTCCGTATTTTTGAACGAAGAGAAGTGAGATACCGTCTCGATACAACTCACAAGAAAACGATGTGTGGTATTTGGACAACGGGGCAAGTAATCACATGACGGGAAATCGTTCATTTTTCTCGAAACTCGACTAAGGAATAACCGGAAAGGTCAAATTCGGTGATAATTCGTGTGTCGAAATAAAAGGGAAAGGCTCAATTGTTTTCCAAGGAAAATCGGGGCACAACAACGTTGATAACGGAGATTTATTTCATCATTCGGATTTGAAAAATAATATTTTCAGTCTCGGACAGCAACCGAAGCCGGGTGCGATATTCGGATGAAAGACAACTATTTGACAATGCATGATGCCGACAACACTTATTAATGAAGGTACAAGAACTCCAAACCGCCTTTATAAAATACAGTTGCCCATTGGAGTACCACCTATTTGCCTTCATTCAAGACGAAGTGAAGACACTGGCGCGGCATGCAAGACTTGGACACATCAATTTCGAGTCAAAGAAAAAGTGTCCAAGAAAGGTCTAGTCAAAGGGTTACCCTAGTTGTGAACAGTGAGAATCAATTGTGTGAATCTTGCTTGGTGGGCAAGCAAACAGAAGTCATTTCCATTAATGACGACGTACAAGCAGC